CGCGCGCCCAAGGGATGGTTTTCAGCCCTACTCCTGGGATCCAAACACCAATCGCGGTTCGGCTGATAACCAGATCTCACGACCCCACCAGACTGGGGACCCCCTGACATGGTGTCTGTGAAGTATGATTGGTTAAATGAGGGTTTGGCCCTACGCGACGGCGGAGCAAGGCAATGCGACGGTAATGGGAGGTAAAAATCCAAGTAGCTACCCCACTGGTCTTTTCGGCTTTCATTTGCTGCCACTGCAGTTTTGACCACATAGTTTAAGGGCTCCCTAGGCAGGATTGCGTTTAGGAAATAAATTCTTTTTAAAGTAGAAATAAAAATACAGAAGTGGTTGGAATTTAATTAAAGAAAAGTAACTCAAATCAACAAAAAAATCCAAAGAAGGAAGGTAAAAAAAAACTTTGAAAAGCTTAAAATAGAGCGAAATCACATCCGAGAAAATTTCGATTTCAATATAAACTGGAATGGAAACAACGTATACAAATTGTTAAAATTAGATGTTTGCACAACTGTCACTCAAACTTGCAAACCAGTCATTCCTTTCCATCCAGGCTCCGAATGTTACGGGACACGGGAATCCCGTTAAAGCAAAATTGTAGTTTCGAAAACCCCTTCAACTGAGGCGTGATACCGCACGCATTCCGGAGAGTTCAAATAGTTGTATCCTTGCGCCGTAGCAATGCAACGCGACGGTAATGGAAGGTAAAATTCTAAGTAGCTTCTCCGCTGGTCTTTTTTGCTTTCCTTTGCCGCCACTGCAGTTTTGACCGCATAGTTTAAGGGCTTTGGAGGCAGGATTGCGTTTAGGAAATAAATAATTTTTAAAGTAGAATTAAAATTAGAGAAGCGGTTGGAATTTAATTAAAGAAAAGGAACTCAAATCAACAAAAAAATCCAAAGAAGGAAGGTAAAGAATAACTTTGAAAAACACTTGGAGTGTTCCGAAAGTCCCGCTCCCCCCTCTAACTTTTAACCGTTCGAGACCAAAAAACGAAACTTTGAAAATATTTCTATCCCAAATTATTTTCCACTCCTTCAGGGGTGTGGGGGCCCCAGACTTTTCTTTTCAAATGATAATCCCTCTTTTGTGATACTTTACCGGAAAGAGAATTAATAACCAAGAATTTTGGCGCAAACCGCAGATCAAATGTTTTGACCGAGTTATGATAGGTCGAAGGTCAAATTTAACCTATTTTCAAAAAATCTTAACTTCGAATCAAAGCATCGTCGAAAAAAAACCGGGAAAATTTACCAAATTGTAAGCACTTTTGAATAGAAATCACATGGATCACTTCAAACTATTTTTAAGGGGGGTTTTGGACCTCCAAATACGTCAATTCAAAGGTCATACGATTCTTCCGCGAAATGAGGCAATTTTTAGGTCACGTTGAATATTGCGCAGCATTCAAGTGAATAAGGGTTGGATGAAACGAGGAGCTTGCACAAACGCATATCATTATTTCATGCGCAGATCGTGAAATTAGGAAAGTGCTTCGTAGATATTCCAGATGCATTCTCCGTTAATTTTGAACCATTTCCTGTAAGAAACAACTTTTCATTTTCCTCTAGCTGAAATTTGCAGCAAGTTCATTGTAATTCACATATTTCTTGTAATCTCACTTCTTTTTAGACGCGGACTACCCCTCTCGTGAGAACCGATCGCAATCTTGTTACCTGCATTGGCTGCTAGGAAACGTGCCAGACTCAAATGATGAGTATCCGCTTCCTGATATATTTGAGTGTAAACACATGACCAGATACCAGGGACCAGCACCAGCCAGAGGAACGGGTAAAACTGTTCTTTCATTTCTTTTTCAACTACCGACTACAGTTCGTTAAACGCGCGTCCGTAATCTGCCACGTTCTGACAATTTGAAGAAAATGTGAATCTGTGCTAATACAAACGAGTTTAGTTGGCTGATCACTTACTCACCGATGATCACCGTGCCGCGTGCCGCCGGAACCGCTTATCGTGAAGGTCAAACTTTCGCGTCTTATAGACTGATGATGATGGAGTGGCTGCGTCATTCGATATAATAACACAGAGCCTTGTTTCTGATTCGCGTCCTTTGCGCCATGCTATCCATGGTGGTAAAATGCGTCGAAGCGTTTCTTACACTAGGAAGTTCTCGTGTTTAATGAGTCTTTAATTGATTTATCACCGGCTAATGACCGCTTGTAAAAAAAACAGGAAAATTAGTCAGATTTTAATTTTTTTTTAAAATCATTTTAATGGACAGTAATCCATAAAGAGTGTCCAAAAACTTAATGGTTGTGAGTTTGTGACCAGTTAAAAAACGCTGACTCCGCGCGTTGGAATTATCGTGCCAAACACTGCGGTTGACGCCAAACGCATGTAAGCGCCTACAAGACTGGGGGAATACTTCACGCAATGCACGATCACGACTGTACGTGCAGCTCGCTCTGATCGTTGGAAATTCATTATTTCTCGATGCCGGAGTTATCGCTCGCTATGTGCGCCATAGGCTGATTCTGTGGCTACATCATTTGATATACTATCAAGCCCTTGGTTCAAATGTAAACAAACATATGCAGAACTTTGTTTCTGATTCGCGCCCATTCGGGTATTTTGCGCCAAGCTGTCCATGGTGATAAAATGCGTGCAAGTGTTTCTTACAATCGAAAGTTCTCGTGTTTAATCGTGTGTTCTCGTCTTTAATTGATTTATAACCGGTCAATGAATACATTTGTAATTAATTAACACAGTTAACTCATGAATAATTCTTACACGATGTTATGTTAGTTTGTTTTAGTTTGAACCAAGAGTTCGATATTATATTGAATAACGTAGTCACTAAATCAGTCTGTTGCGGTTTGGTAATTATACGGCATGCAGTTGAGGCATTTTATTCTTGTAGATGCAAATCCCACATAATAATATTCTTAGCTTAGGGTGATTCGATGGACGCTATATTTTGAGTCAGAACGACATGCGATATATCGCTTCAATCGGTTCCATTTTTTTAGCTACTTGTCATTTTTCTCAAATTTTGAGATCGCAATTCTGTTTTCATGTGACTAAAGAATTCACTTACCAATTTTGACAAAGAAATTCAACGTAATATAGGCGTGGTTTTTTGGAGGAAAAATATCGCATTCGAGTGCAGTTTCGAAATCAGTATCGAATGCGATATTTTTCCTCTAATAAAACCCCGCTTGTATTAAGTTGAATTTGTTTGTCAAAATCGGCAAGTGAATACTTTAGTCTCCTAACGACAGAATTGCGAACTCAAAATTTGAGAAAAATTACGAGAAGCTGAAAAAATGAAACCAATCGATGCGATATATCGCATGTCGTGTTGTTTTAACACAGTATATGGCGTCCATCGAATCAAATTAACTTAATTTGGTTTCGTGTCATGCAATATCACAATTTTATAAATTGATGATTTTCAGGCCTGCACAGATACATCTTTTTGGTCTACAAGCAGAAAGGAAAAGTGAGGTTTAAGGAGCCGGATTTATATCCCGAGTATGTTCTTTTTTCTACATGTCTTGTAAATAAGTAGTATTTGAGCAATAACGATTCGTATAAAATAACAAAATTCTCAAGTTAAAAAGTTCGTACCATACTTATTGACATGATCTTTGCATCTGATTTGAAACAATTTAGCCACGGACTAACGTTCTCTAAATTCATTATTTTTCGTTTGACCTATGCAAAATATGTGAGATCACGAATTAGGCCAATTTAAGATTGCAAATTGGCATTCTTTACCGAACTTCTTGAAGTTTTTCACCTTTCTTAAAGTAAGAACAGAGTTCACTAAGATTATGATTTTTGAGAGGAGTGAGTAAGGTAGGAGGAGAGAACGCAAAATTCTCTGTTAAGAGAAATAATCGGATCTGATATCTCAGAGCAATGTAGCTAACACAATGTCCTCAAATAATTTGTTTACGATTATTTTGCCAGTCATTGGCTCATTACAATACAACCCAACAGTCGGCCAGATCGCGAGGTATGTGGATTTGTTTGCCATTTAATGAAATTGGACGTCTTTAAATCTAAAAGAACGATCTTCATTCTTACAAGGGCCCTTTATTCGTGTGTTAATCTTGGGGTGCAGATCACAATATAGGTAGAATCCTCTGATAAAATTAGTCTAATTTATTATAATATGGAAGTTCAATTTGTTCAAAATTGTGATTAAATTGATCTGTGGTTTCAGCGACGGTGACGACGACCGGGTTAATTTCTCGCCGAGAGATTTTGCTCGAAAGTACCACTTGGGCAAACCATGGGCGGTGTCCTTTTACTTGGCCGAGTGGGTGCAGCCTCCCCCGTCGACCACTTACGAGCCTTGGGACTTCACACCCGAAACTGAGGGCCCGGGTGTCGGCGACTGGAGTATAGAGGAACATGACGAGTATCTCGATCAAGAAAGAGAGAAGGAAAGGAAAAAAGAAATAGAGAGGAAGAAAGATGGCAAAAACTCAAAATAGGTTGATAACATTTGGACTATAGCAAAAGTGTTGCAATAGTATTTTCCTAAAGGAAATACACACGCATTTAATTTATTTATTCACCACTTGAGTATGAATACCTTCATATTTATAATATCTCATAAGGCGACTGGGGTATAAAGGAACATGACAATTATCTCGGTCAAGAAAGAGAGAAAGAAAGAGGGAAAGTATTAGAGCGGAGAAAGATGGCAAAAAATGAAAAAAAGTTGATAGCATTTGCACTAGCTCAATAGTTGCAGTAGTATTTGCTTAAAGGAAAGACACACGCATTTAATGACTTTATTCGCCGCTTTGGTATAAAGACCTTATTCATATTTAAATCAAGAAATATGCAAATTTATTTCAAAATAAAAGACTATTTTTTTTTTCCGAAGATGTCTTAATACATTGCAAAATATCCATCCGTATAGATTCCTCTTCCTCTTTTTTCCATTTTCCACAAAAGGCCTGTTCATAAAATACGTAACGCGAATTTTCCGATTTTTGACGCCCACTTACCCCTCGCAACTCTGGTCTAGACTTCTCCAAAATAATTACGTAACATTTGCCTCAACATCCCCCCCTTCTCAATAAAAAAACCTTGAAATAAATTTACTTAATGAATAAAAGGGGGGGGGGGCATAGTTTCTGTTTATTAAAAGTCCCTGTCAGAAACAAAGAAGAGTAAGATCAGAAAACCAGCATATACAACTTTAAAGAAATAAAGTTGAACTTCAGTACATACTGTTACGTAAAGCTGAGCTTGACGACCCCTC